AACCGAGGCGGGGGGGGGGGGGGGAGGAGGGACTGATGAATTTTGAGAAAAATGAAGTAAGAGAAAACCAAATGGAAAAAAAAAAAACTGAGCCTACTGAGATGTGGTGACAGCGGCGAGGCGACGGCGACCACGACGGCAGCGCTCTGTGGCGTCATCCGGCCTAGGAGAGGAGTGGAGCCGCACCCCCGATGGCGCCGGCCTCCAGCGGCTTCACAGAGTTGTAGTGCTCCCCGAGGTCGCAGGCATAGTGCAGGTAGACTAGGGTGAGTGGCTTCTTGAAGTACTCCTCCCCGATAACGAGGACGGGAGCATCGGCCTGGATCACCTCGATGGGGGTCTGCAGGACATGCGTCAGGGCCCTCAGCTCGAGCTGGCCTCCCCACAACTCGCTGCGCACGACGTCGTCGCAGTACCTCATGAAGTCGTCGCGGCTGTAGGCGTTACCGGTTTCGGGGTCAATAAAGAAGGGCAGGAAGTCGTTGATGTGCTTCTGCATGTAGTTGCCGGTGTGGCAACGCAGGTTTTCCACGGTCACAGAAAACACCAGCTGGTCTTGGATGGCGCGGTACATGCAGTGGCAGTCCACCGGAATAGCTTTCATCTCCAGATTCCTGGCCCCCAGGATGGCCGCAATTTTCTCCTCCTCCTCGCGTCGGAAGGTGGCCAGGAGTTCTCTCTCGACCTCAGCGACCCTCTCCTGGCGCTCCCTCTCTCTGACTGCCCTCCTTTCTCGCCTTCTCTGTGCCTTCGAGAGGCGGGGAGGCTGGTTCTCGAGATTCATCTTGGCCATATCTTCTGTGACAGAATCGAGGCTACTGTTGTTAGGGAACCTCTCTTGGAACTTCTCCATCTCCTGCTGGTGCTTCTGCTTCATCTCGGCCTCGAGGCGGGCCACATCTAGGAGCAACTGCTTTCTTTTTTCCTTGTCGCTCTTAGGGACCGAGCTCTTCATGGCCTGGATTTGGGTCTGTAGCTCCTTTTTCTCGCGATGGTGGCGTCGTAACATCCGCTGATGCTCACTTTGCGGATCCTCCATGATGTTTAATGACAGTCAGGAATCGAAGTTTTGTGGCGGCTCAAGTACATAACAAGCTACAAGTCCCCAGCCCGCTCTAACCGCTGTTTTCTATCTGCCTCACCTGCCGGTTGTCCCCACCCACCCTATCCACAGCCCTCTCTGCCATTGGTCACTGCCTCCCCGTGGCTCCGCCCCCAAACACGCCTGGCACTAGGATTGGCTGTTGGGAGACCCTAACTATGTCCTCGTTAGACCCCGTGGCAACGGGTGCTTCCGGTTTTAGCTAGGTGCTAATATTGCCGGTAAGATTCTGCTTTCCAAACAAGGTGTGCAGTAGCCGCTTGACTCTCACTGCCAACTTCATTTCCAAGTTCGGACACAGGCCATGGTTGATAACCACATGACAAATACTACACCATCAGCTGAATGTGCTCTGAACCTGAACTTGGCATTACCCCTAGTGTTTTAGGGGGCTGTGTGACTTGCTTCAGTTTTTCAGGTCCTTTGACCAGTGAACCCTTAATCTTTGTGCATTAGAACAAAGACGTTTCCTTATGTTCCTGGAAACGCACACTCCTTTCAATTTACTCCTCAGATCCACTCTGTCCCGTCTCAGTGTTAAGAATGCAGCAGTCACTCTCCTTAGAGCCACTCATCACAACTAAGCAGACCTCTTGGCTTGTGCCAACAGGAGGTTCCTGCTCTACACTCTTCCCCTGGGCTACTATCTTCCAGAATGGTCTCCCTAGGATGCCCATGAAGCACCACAGCCAGAGTTCATAAAGCTACTTTTTCTGATTGGTTTGAATCTACAAAAGTTCTGGGGGAATAAAAGCCTTAAGCTCTTTCAAATGTGCTCCCATCCTGCCCCACCCAGCTCACTTGTATCTTGAATCCCAAATAGGAAGGCCCTCCAGACAACCCCCCCCACCCTTGAAACCGGACATTCATCCAAGTTGTTTCAAGTTTCAAAACTGGGTTCCTTTTTATTCCTAAGTAGTATTCTATGATGTGGATTTACTGTAGTTTATGTAAATATTCACCTGTTGAAGGACATCTGGGTTGTTTCCAGTGTAGAGATATCACAAAGAAGCCTGCCGTAAACATCTGTGTATAGGTTTTTGTGTGAACATAAGTCATTTCTTTGGGAAAAATGCCCAGTAGTGCAATTGCTGTATCATATTCTAAGTGTATGCTTATTTTTTAAGAAACCGTTTTCCAAAGTGGCAGTACCTTTGTACAGTCCCACCAGAAGTGTGAGTGATTCTGTTTCTCTGCATTCTCCCCAACATTTGGTGTTGTCACAATTTTTTAAAGAGGGTATGCAAATGTTCAATGTATTTTTTCAATTTTTTGATATGTTTGTACATTTTCAAATAAAAAATCTGGGAAAAGAAAAATCAATTGTGTTATTAGTGTGTGGGCCAGATTTGGATGGTCCACTTGTCTTCTTTGAGAAGATATGAAAGTTTCAACATGAGCCAATGATGCAGTGCTCCCTAAAAAGCTAACTTATTTTAGATATTTTGATAAGTGTGTATTGATATCTCATTGTGATTTTAATTTAGTGGCAAATGATGTTCATCCTTTCATGTGCTCATTTGCCATCTATGCCATATCATCTTCATGTAAAATGTTTATGTCATTTGCCTATTGTCTAAATGACTGTTTTTTACTGTTAGTTTTGAGAGTTATTTATAGATTCTAGATACTCGTTCATTGTCAGATATGTGGTTTGCAAATATTTTCTCCCAGTCTATAGCTTGTCTTTTAATTTTCTTAAAGTCTTCCTCAGGGCAAAAGTTTTTAATTTTTTTTTTTTTTTGAGTTGGAGCCTCACTGTTGCCCAGGCTGGAGTACAGTGGCACGCTCACGGCCACCTCAGCCTCGACCTGTTGGGCTCAGACAATCCTTCCGCCTAAGCTTTCCAAGTAGCTGGAACTACAGGCATACGCCACCACTCCTGGCTAATTTTCTTTTTGATTTATTGTAGAGATAAGATCTCATCAAATTGCCCAGGCTGGTCTCGAACTCGTGAGCTCAAGCAATCCTCTCACCTCGGCCTCCCAAAGTGCAGGGATTATAGATGTGAGCCACCTCATCCAACCAAAAGTTTTTAAGTTTGATGAAGTCCAATTTATCATTTTTTTCCATCGAAGGATCATGTTTTTGGTGTCAAGTCTAAGAATTCTTTGTCCAACACTAGATTTCAAAGATTTTTGTTCCGCTTTACTTATTTATTTTTTTACTAACAGATTTATAGCTTTAGGTTTTAAAGTTAAATTCTGTGATCTATTTTGACTTTATATTTGTGTGACATTTGAGGCTTGGGTTGAGGTTCACTTTTTGTCTGGGGATGTCCAATTATGCCTGCGACATTTGTTGAAAAGGCTATGCTTCCTCCGTTGAATTGGTTCTGCACCTTTGTCAAAAATCACTTGAGCATATTTGTGTGGGTCCATTTCTGGGTTCCCTATCTGTTCCATTCATCTATGTGTTTATCCCTCCACCAACACCATACAGTCTTGATTACTGTAGCTATGTGTTAAGTCTTGAAATCGGGTAGACCATTTCCTCCAACTTTATTCATTTCTTACAAATTTAGTGATTTGAGTTCCTTTGTTATTCCTTATACATTTTAGAATACTTCTGTCTGTATCTTCAAAAAATTCTGCTGAGATTTTCATAGGAATTGTGTTAAAGCTGTATATCAATTTGGGGAGAATTAACATCTTCACTATGTTGAATCTTTTAATCCATGAAAACCTGGGTATGTAACTTCCTTTATTTAAATCTTCATTGTTTTTTTTAATCAACACTTTACAGTTTTCAACATACAAATCCTGTGCATATTTTGTTAGATTCACACTCAAGAATTTCTTTTTTTGAGTGATTGCAAATGGTCTTGTGTTTTTAATTTTGATATTCACGTGAATTGTTAGTATGTGAAAATACAATTGACTTGTTTATTTAGCTTGTGTTCTATGACCTTGCTTAACTCGCTTATTATTTCTAGGAGGATTTTAAAAAAATAGATTCCTTGTAATTTTCTATGTAGACAGTAGTGTTGTCTGTGAATTGGGACAGTTTTATTTCATCCTTTCCATTAAATATGCCTTTTATTCCTTTTTTGGCTTTATTGCACTGGTTAGAACTTCTAGCACTATGTTAGATAGAAGTGTTTTGTTCTTTATCTTAAGGGGAAAGAATTTTGTCTTTCACAATTAATTATGATATTAGCTGTAGGTTCTGTGTAGATTTTTAAAAATCAGGTTGAGGATGTTACCCTCTATTCCTTTGTTTCTGAGAGTTTTTGACATTAGTGGATATTAATGAGGAAGACTTTAATATTAGTGGATATGTGAAAGTTTCCACATAAGCCAATGATGCAGTGTTCTCTAAAAAGCTAACTTATTTTAGATATTTTGATAAGTGTGTATTGATATCTCATTGTGATTTTAATTTAGTGGCAAATGATGTTCATACTTTCATGTGCTCATTTGCCATCTATGCCATATCATCTTCAGTAAAATGTCAATTTTTTCTGCGCTTATTGATATGTTAATGTGATTTTCCTTCCGCAGCCCGCCAATATGATAGATTACAGTGACTGACTGTCAAGAATTGAACCAGTCTTGCACTCCTAGAATAAATCCATTTGCTCATGGTTTGTAATAATTTTTATGTGTTGCTGAATTTTATAAAAGGGCTTAAAAAAGCTACATTCATGAGGAATATTTGTCTGTAGTTTTCTTTTTTGGTACTGTTTTGTTTAGTTTTGGTATTAGAGTAACACTAGTTTCACAGGAAAAGGAGGGAAGTGTCTTTTTTGGAAAGAGATTGAATAAAATCAGTCTTATTGTTTTTTAATGTTTGGTAGATTCTCCAGTGAAGCCATCTGGGCTTAGCGATTGCTTTTTTGGGAGTTTTAAAATTACAAAATCATTTTTCTTAGTAGGGCTAATCAAATTATATATTTCATATAGGATGAATTTTGGTAGCTTGTATTTTCTGAGGAATTGGCCCATTTCTTTTGAGCAGCCAAATTTATGGATGTAGAGTTGTGTGTAATATTCCATTATTATTGTTTGATGTTTGGAGGATCTGTAGTAACATTTCTTGATTTATTCCTGGTATTGGTAATGTGTATCTTCTGTTTTTTGTTTTGTCAGTCTTGCTAGAGTTTGTCAATTTTGCTGATCTTTTCAAAGAAATAGTATGCTGCTTCATTGATTTTTCCCTAATGCTTTTCAATTTCATTAATTTATGCTCTTTATTATATCCTTCATTCAGCTTGCTTAGTTTGCTCTTCTTTTTCTAGGTTCTTGAGATGGGAGTTTAGATAATTGATTTTCAGATATTTTCCTCTTTTTCTTTTCTTTTCTTTCTTTTTTTTTTTTTGAGTTGGAGTCTCAGGCTGGAGTGCAGTGGCATGCTCACTGCCACCCCAGCGTCGACCTGCTGGGCTCTGACGTTCCTTCTGCTTCAGCCTTCCAAGTAGCCGGAACTACAGGCGCGCGCTGCCACGCCCGGCTAATTTTTTGATTTTTATTGTAGAGACGAGGCCTCGTCAGGTTCCTCGGGCTGGTCTCCAACCCGTGGGCTCAGGCAATACCCTCACCTCGACCTCCCAAAGTGCTGGGATTACAGGCTTGAGCCACCGCACCCAGCTCTCTCTCTTTTTCTAATGTGTGTATTTAGTGTTATACGTTTTCTTCTCAGTACTACTTTAGCTGTAACTCAGTACTACTTTAATGAGTTTTAATATGTTATATTTTCATTCTCCTTCAGTTTCAATGTAGTTTTTGGTTTTACCTGAGACTCTTTTGGCCCATGGAATTTTTGGTTTTTTTTAAGATGGGTAGTACAATTCAGGATTAAGTACACAAGTGGTCATCATACAGAGAAAGTTTGGGCCTCCTTTTGGTCCCCACTTTGCCTGGTTTGAGATCAGGTACTATTATTGATGTTATGTGCCCCCACCCCACCTTCAGCAGTTTCCAGCTACTGCCAATTCC